TTGTGCACTCAATTCATAACAAAATCATACGCATGCAACAATATATTACAATTATTCGAATAAAAGCCAATTTGAAAATCTTAATATTTTCCTGTCAATGTGCTTGAATTATCAACTGTGACAAAGAGAAATTTCTTGCAGATACCAAAACTTTTAGATTTCAGGCAGAAAATAAGCATAAATTTGAATTTTTTTTGGTTGATCTTTACATTATGGTAACTTGGCGTTTTTTGGCGAAAATTTGGCGACCAACTCTTTTACAGCAACCCTCTATTTTCTTTCCCGAAGACATGTTTCTTTTCTTTTTATCTACTGAACACTTCTTCCAACAATCCTAGCCGAATTACACTTATGTTAGAAATTTTATCTAACAAAACTGCTTAATCATGACAAATATCACTGCAAATTGGGAAAAAGTGCACAATACCATACTCCTTACGCGTTTTTCAAAATAACACATACACATAAACCATGTACACGCCAACTTATTTTTACTTAAAAAAACATCCCAGAATTGCACAAAAATGGCATTGTGCACACTCTTCACTCTCATAAATTAGAAAAATTTCACGAAAATACATGACAATTTTCTCAATCTTTAAACCCGGTAAAAAGAACATATATGTCAGATACTTATATTATTTCCATGCACGTTTACTTCAACTAAAACGTATACCAAATTCCTACAAACATAAAATTCACAAAATAACTATGATTTCATTAAAATATAATTAAATTCAAAAACACTACCTTTATCGCCTCCAAAATGTTGCCAAAATACCAGTTACCATATTGTAAAGATCAACCTTTTTTTTCTTTATTTTTATATGCACATTTTAAAAAATACCTAGAATTTTTTTTTTTTTTTTTTTTTTTTTTTTGTGTGTGTGTGTGTGTGTGTGGTTATTTGCTAATTTCAGATTGTGCATTTAGCCCACATGCAGTCTGAGTTTGAGACCACTGTGTTAATGCAGTAAAACTGAATTTTTATGTGAAGCATGACTGAAAATGAAAGAAACAGACTTTTAAAAGGATTAATTCAACAGATAATTAGATTTTAATCATCCTCTAAAAAGTGAAAATTGCTTAAAAAAAAAAACAGAATGTGCATATAAAGGTTAAAATACAGGGCATATCCAAACTGTATATAATAATAATAAACTCCTACGTAAATTTATATCATATATGAATATAAACTCATACGTAAATTCATTTCATGTACGAATCCCAACAGCATTCATAACATAATCAATGAAATTCATAAAATTAAGTAACTGATTTTGCTAATATGAGCATTAACTGTACCACTGATCAAATTTTATCAATGTAAAATTTATGTAAAATTTAACGAGTATTAATTACTATTATTGCACATTACATTTAGAATTACACTTACATTTGCAAATTACTCTTATAAATATATTACAGTTTAATCTGCATAAATGAAGCAAAATTGAATTATAATGCACTATCTGTAAAGCTTGCCTGAAAATTTAAATCCAAAGAATGTAAAATTTTTAGGTACTTCTTTGTTATAGCTCCCTCGAGATTGTATCAGCAATCAATTGTGATCTCTCACCAAATTCTGGCTGTGTGTTCTTATATCTCGCCATATAATCGTATATAAGCACCATGTTCCATTTTTGCTCTTGCCGTGTGTTCTTATTTGATGGTATTTTTGAATTCACATTGTTTATTTAAAAATATATTCATTGTTTTTCTGCATGAGTATGATGTTAACAAGCTTAAACTTACTGAGTAGTGAGGTGCATCATTTTTGCAAGAGGTCTTTTATCTGGCAAACAAGTATGCGAAAGTGGTCGCAACATGAAACTTTATGTTAACGACAAGACAGTTTGGAGGTGCAACAATAAATATCGCAAAAAGGAGAAAGGCCTCTGTGTTGGAAATTGATTCAGCAGTTCAAGAATATCATTATTATATTTATGTATTCTTGGGCAGAAAAGCTGACATTCATGAAATGGTGAAACAAGCAGCTTAATATGTGCGAAAGTGATGCAGCTGACTGGAACAATTGCATGCGATAAAATAATAAAGATTCTTAAAAATATTATTAAGAAACAACAAGTTGGTATTGTAATTATATATTGTGTTGTTTATTTTTATATTCGTGCTTCACGAGATTGGTGGAATTACAGCCAAGATCTTAACGTAAATCTAAAATTGCAAAATATACTTAGGCACCGCTATAGCAAAGAAATACCATTTTATTATATGCATTAAGTATTTTCATATTATGTAATGTTTAATAAATGAATACACAAATCCTATACTTAATTTTCAAATATATGTAATTCTAATTGTCCTTTATTAATATAATTTTTGAAATATTTGATGTTCATGCCTTTCATGCAAAACTCATGATAAGTCACTGCCCAGAAATCACCCGAAACTAAATCTAGGCTATACGGAGAAGTGGCACAGCTAGAGGGGGGGGGCAAGGGAGGATATAAAGACAGCATCCAGGAGGTGCCAAACTGATGTTAAGAAATTTTAGAATAAAATATTTTCTATTCTTGGCAAACAGGAGGGGGGGCGCAAGATCTTCAGTTGTCTCCGGACACTGAAAACCTCAGCTACACCTCTGATATAGCTAGACTTTCAGTGCTCTAACATCAGTTTCAGACATTGTAATTATAGCACATATGTTAATTTAGCAATAAAGATATCGTTCCAGAGAAAAAACAACTATTTTTTTGAGAAAATTAATTATTTCTTTTAGGTTTCACGTAAATGTGTTTTTAAGAAGGCTGCATAATAATCAGCATTTTCTATTTGCCTGTAGGCTAGCAATGGAAATATCTACAACTATAATGGATGGCATGCCAGAATTTTCCTTATTCATGATTTGAATGTTTGAACTGTCTCCACCACTGAAATATGGGAACATGGCTACATGTTTTTCTACTATATGCGTGCTAGAGTATTTCAAATGCTTCACAGTCATTTTTTCATAGTTTCTCATCCATTCAAGTCTCTAATACTTCCATAGCAATGTCTTCCTCTTCCATCCCAACAGAAATACTAGGTGTACTTCCATTTGCTGTTATCAAATACTGCAGACTGAAAACAGACTGGTGTACAACCTTCACAAAACTCGACCCAGTATAAGATTTACACCTAATATCAGATAAGAGATATAAGAATTAGCTTATAATTTTAATCAGCTCTTGCATTTTCATATTTATACTTAAATTATGTGTATTATTTGTCAATTAAAAATCACCTTTTGCTTTAATACTTTGCCTAAAATAAATATTTAAACCTATGTGCATTTAAACAGATGGTGAATTATTATTCTAAACTAACAAACAATTATCCCCAATCACAGGATAATTCTTTTACATTTTTGTAAAAATTATCACTGCCCAAAATCTGTAAAATTTGCTTTTCACATGCACATTCATATTAACAAACATTTTAGTATATGGACATCAAAAGGTGCTTGCTCCACACCAAAATTGAAATTACCTTTGATAATTGTTAAAACTGATGTTATTTATTTGATAAAAATTACTGTATGTGATTACAAATAATTCTGAAATACCACATATTCCTGAAAACACTGAGACAAATATGATGGTACTATTTAACAATACCCATGCTACTAGGAAATTTTACTTCAAATATTATATTTTTTACAGTAAATACAAATTTCAAATTTTGCTTACATATGCTTTCCCAGAAGAAAAGAAATAAAATTAAATTAATATTTAAAATTAAATTTGAGCAATGCATTGCATAAAGATGACTATAAATATATTTCTTTAATTTAAAATATAAAAAAAATTGAAATATTTCAGATTTAAATTCAGCAAATCAATAAAAAAAATTTGTCTTCAACTTTATGTCAAGTCCGTTTCCTTCAGATTATTTTACCCACGATTAGTTTGTAAATCTGCTTAAAAGGAGCAGTACATAGCCACAGTAGTTAAGCTTAGCTTGACTAGTTTATCTACGTCACTGAATATGTACTGCCCCTTTTCAGCAGATTTATTTATTTCAAACCATGCTAATCATTAACTTGACAGTCACTTATTGATGAAAAAGTGACAGTTCACTTAATCTATAAATAAATAATTGTAATGTTGGTAAAACATCTAATTGAGTACACATTATCTCAAACACCTGGTTTAATTACAAACTACAGAACTGTTAAAGTTTACGAAATTATTTAGCATTGGCAACTTAATTTTGTTTTGGATAGTTATTTTATGTGCAGATAGTATGCATTTTATATTATATACACATAATTGAATGTACAAAATACTCTGCAAGAATGCGGATTTTCTTACTGTTTTCTCAAAACCTGACACTCAGTGTAGACATCAGAACACTTAGCACACAAGTGCAGCTAGATTAGAGAGCTTTATTTCTTGAAATAGACAACTGTTAAAATTTACGAAATTATTTAGCACTGGCTACTTAATTTTCTTTTGAATAGTTATTTTATGTGCAGATAGTATACATTTTATATTATATACACATAATTAGATGTGCACAATACTCTGCAAGAATGCGGATTTTCTTAATGTTTTCTCAAAATCTGACACTCAGTGTGGACATCAGAACACTTAGCACACAAGTGCAGCTAGATTAGAGAGCTTTATTTCTCGAAATAGACAACGTTAAAAGTCTCTCCAGAGATGTGTGTGTGGGTACGTAGGGGAAGTTTCTATCTTCAATAACGATAACTTATGATTGGATAAAGGTTAAATGTACGATAAAGAAATCCGATCAATTTCACTGCCGTAAAAGTTTCGTGAAGATAAGCTTACAAAACCAGAACAACAGCAAATCTCACACCGAACTGATTTGAAATTTCGATTCCGTATCACATTGATAATTCATACAATACGTTATGCTGGCAAAATGATTACATGTAATTAGGAAATCTAAACACACAAATATTATGTGAGAAAGCAATTAATATATGCTATAACTCTAAAATATACATATATGAGTTTGATATCACATACCTGATACAGGCCAGCTACTGCAAGAAGAATTAGGGCTAATCCAAAAGTAAGAGCCATACTGTGTCTGAAAAGTACGTAGAATTCACGAAAGATATATGAATTCAAACATACAGTAGAAAAACATATGAAGCCAAGGGAAATTCAGAAGTGTTTCAACCAACTTTTAAAGAGCAATGACGTCAACGTCTGGTTGACGGATAATTGCACCACACTAACTTCGCGAACTGAAAAATTCTAATAAGCAGATAGAGACTTGTAAAGTGCTGAATTTGAAATACACAAATTGTTATTCTATTCTAATTAAATGTGTTGAATTTAACAAAACCACTGGCATTTCACTAAAAAAGAGTCTAAACTTTAACAACATATAACATCCACACCCTTACGACGCCATTAGTACCTCAGATCTGCGCATAATATAGCAGGCATTCCAGCAGAAATCGTAACAATCTACAGCATAAGGTCAGATGACGTCTATGCCTGCAAGCCAGTGATTGGGTGAAAAATTCCGTGACAGTTATCCAGTCTTGAAACCTTGAATAAGCCGGTGGAAAAACGAGAATTAATAAACGGGCAACTCATTAATAAGTTTACTTAAAAATTAATTAAAAAAGATAACATTTTAAATAAACGTTCAGCATTAAAAGTCCGAAATTGAGCATGAAAGCTAAGCGAGGTTCCTGATCCTTTGTAAGAGAGCCAAAACATATAATATCATCTGAGAAAATTGAAAATTTTGTATCTGATGATTTTTGGTTGAATATCGTGTGTTTTGATGGAGTATATTTTCATTTTGAAGATAAGCAGCATGTGGAGAGATTTTGCAATAAATGCATCTTTGTCCTTCTAGACCAGGGGTTCTCAACCGCTGGTACGCAAAGAAGCAAAATATTTTTAACTATTAAATTCAAAAATTAAAACCCCAACATGCTGATGGAGATTTTTCTTTAACACTCGTAAATTTATGCGATCTGAGCTTTGTTCATGAGTGGTGGTGATAGTAGTTCTTTGTAGTGGTAGTGCTAACGGTTTTCAGTTTTTGTTTAGATGGTACGCGTTAGTCAAAAGGTTGAGAACCGCTGTTCTAGACTATAAAATTATTCAGAAGACGAGTGCCACCTCGCTTTTATTCACATCGATGATCAAAAGAGTCAAAAATTCTTTGTTACACTCCACTAATTCCAGAAAATAAAAAACAGGGTAAATCAGAAAGCACCATTTTGAACGCTATTGACGATCGCCCTAGGAGCAACAGAAACTCACGCGAATATAGCAAGAACATTTTACATATATGCAAATGAATGAATATCATTTCCACCGCTAATCAGAGCTGATAAATAAAAAAATAGAAATTATCAGAAAAATATCTCGAATAACATCTCTACAGCTTTTGTAGACTTTATGAGCATTAACAACAAAATAAATAAGATTTTTATTGACGACTACATATTCAATATAATTAAAACTATATCGCTGGCAGCATAGATGAGGTTTTTTTTTCGTTTTTTGGTGGAACTCTGGAACTTTTTTTGTGTATTTATCGTATTTTTATGTATTTCTGTATTCAAAATTATATTAATGCACCCTACTTTTCGGTAACTGCCTTTTGCATACCATGTTTCTAAGTCACCAGTTCGAAAGCCACAACTAACATCCGGATTTTAAACTTTATTAGGAAGCACTGAAAAGTAATCAAGTATTGATTATCTAATATAATTTCCAACAAATTTATAGTGAAAGTGAAATATTAATTATCTAATCTTTTTTTTCCTCTTGTTGTTGTTTCTAATTGTCTTGATCCAAACTTATAACAATATCAAGTGCGCTAATTTTATCGTGGCCAAAGAGCAAGGTTGCGCCTATTGCTATCTTAGGTCCTGTGAACCTTATACGGAACAGTGCGAATGTGCATCCTCGTCGTCCCAGTTTTAAAAGAGAATCCTCTGGGGGACAGATCCTAGTATCAAATAATATGTATGTAAAAAAGGAAAGCTTTCATAGACGCAATTTAAACCAGTTTGACTACTGTGCTGCGATATCGTGGAAGGAAATTTTTCTCGTCGCTAAATTGCCATTTGCACATGAAATGTGCAAAATCAAAAAGCTTACAAGATTCGTTCTTTGACAAGACTTTAAATGATAATTTAAACTGATATTTTTGCAGATAATTTTCTTAAATAATCCATTGATACTCAGATCATTCATTTGATTTACATCAATAAAACGATAAAAGAAGTGGTGTCACAGAAGTTTGAACTCTTGATAAAGGTAACTTTCGACTTCCGACACCGACTCGACAACTATTTCACGTATGCGTAAAAAGATATTAACGCTGGATGAATAGCACTGTAAAGTAAACTTCGAGTACAGTATTTTTCTTCTGCGGTCTGACGGAGCCACTCCTGCTTTCGTGAAGCTTTTGTTCTTAACATACATATTCTTTGCTAGAGTCTCCTACTCTTTCCTCTGCCAACAACCTCTCGAGAAGAGCTTGCTTTCGGTAGTTTATCTAATGAAAGATCAGAACTAAATTTGAAAAGCATACCGTGGAAAAAATATAGAAAGAATTCTTCAGGAGAAAATATTAAATTCAATCATTGTCAGAGGGAAGTGCGTTGCAGGGAATAAAAGGAAAGTAATTAGCGTTAACACTTCAAGAAATTATAAACCAAATGAATATTTTTCCGATGTATGTTCAAAAGTTCCTTTTCCCTTTCTTTTCATTATGGACTTTCAGGCATTATGCAGACTCTGTAACAAACATTGCACAGTATTATGTCAGAACGTTTCAAATTTTGCCAAGAGAAGATTATTTATAAAGAAATGTAAATGGATATTCTGTCAATTTGCAATTCTTTATGAATAAAATGCTGTAACTTCTGTTACTGTAACTGTTTACTGTTTAACTACCGAAAACTGCTTGTTATCATATCTAACAGTGGACCTTAAGAAGTTAACTAGTGGTTGGCAAGTTATTGAATCTGTTAATGCTTAAAACGAAACACAAGATAGACTAAAGTTAAAAACTTAACACCGAAATTTAGTATCGACTACTTTTAATACAGCTAAAAAAAGTAGCGACAACATTAATGGTGAGACTGCTCGTCGTCTATCAGCTACAGAGACTAGTTGCTAAGCTACAGTTTTACAGTGATTATACAAGAAAAGCATGATCAGAGTTTTAACACCGTTCGGTAAGACGAACCCCAACTAACTAATTAACTCTTAAAACTGTTATCAGATCTGCAAGCTATCCGTGACTGCCTGTCGAAAGAAACCTATCCAGATATTTTTGCTTTCGAGATATATGATTGGTTGACTTATGCGAAAACCTACGCAGGATAGGGCTGCAAGTGAAACATTTTGCCCTGGGTTGCAAAATGTCCCGCATACTTAGGTAGCACATCGCTATTTGCGGCTAGGAACTCCCCGTTCAAACAAATGGTGAAGAGGTTATCACACATGGCTACAGTCCCTGCTAGACGGGACTTTTCTGAGAAACGGGATTCTGGTAGCACTGGTTTAAAAGGAAGGATTCTTAGAAAAAAGAACCCGATTGAAGCGAAGTACCGCCTAGCTACGGAAGCAATGTTGCGGCTACGCGGGATTTTTTCAAACCTCACAGAAAATGTCTCGAGTTCCGGGTAGAGACAACCAATTAGACGAAAGTTTTGCTTCTTAAGGATCACGTGATCCCGATTTGAGCGATAATCGATTACTGTTTGGCGTTTAAGTCTTTGTAGTAAGTGAGAATGGTAACCTAGCTACGTGTGTTTCATGGAATTGTGCGGGTTCTGAGAATTGTAAGAATTGTACCTTTCGTAAAATAGAGAACACAATACTGGAGGTCAAGTCCCGCGTAGGCGAAACATAATGTGATTTGGACAAACTCGTTCCTTGAAAACGTTTTTTCTAGAGTTTCGCGTCACTATATGTAATAACTTCATTATTGAATTCGGCTATGTTAGCCGTTCTAACCATATGCTCTGCGGGTGGCTTTTCCAGCAAGGGGCAGCGAAACGAAGAGAATTCCAATGATTTCCCGTTTTAAGGTTATATCCAACTTTTAACGTATAGCATTTGCCTTAATATTAGCATAAACGTCTAGTCTGAGCGAGTAACGTGATGAGACAAAGCACTGAAGAGAGCTATTAGCATACACCTAATCGTTAGTAAAAGTTAAATCATAAATGTCACCAAGCTAAATTTCCCTTCTATAAAGCTGTATATTCGCTCATTATCTTCACCTCCAGTATTGTATTCCCTATTTTACGCTTATATTATGGAGGAAAATTTCAATACCAATTTAATTTTTTCCCTTTTGAAAGAAGTTATAATGTGAAATGTGTATCTCGAATGTGCTTTATAGTAAATAATAGACAGCAAAATAAGAAATGTATTTAATATAAATGTATACCTAACTCAGATGTTTACAACATCAGCAGCAATACGCAATTAACGGCCGATTAAGTTCATTGTTTTAAAATGGCAGGCATGAAGATACTGGCATTATATGCCCTCACCTTATTGAACTGATTTAGAACTGATTTAACTCCGAACATTTATTCTACTTAGGATGTGTTCTGTCTGAGACAATATTACATTAAATAAAATTTGATTATAAATAAAAGTTGAGAATTTAAAAGAAAAGGTGATAAAAATTGACAGCACACGTGGTAAAAGAATGGTCTTCATAAAAATAATGTTCAAAAGCAAAAACGATTTTTCAAGAGATTTTCTTTCCAAGCATTTACAATGCATGAATTTAGAGTTCAACGCATTTTTAATTCTAAGTAGAATGTAATTTGGTTTCTCCCGGTAACAAACGTTATCAGCAGGAAAAAAATTAGAAAGTCCTCTACGAAGGCATCACTCCTCTTAGGCAGATAGCTCTCGTGTGCTTTGCCATTATTAAATACACCATTAAACACACCAACGTATATTTTAAATTAATTTTTAACATTAAAAAAAAAAAAAAAAAACCTAGAAAACTCACCTAAATAAAAACATCAAAAAATGTATTTTCATGTTTTAGGGATGGTCGATGACTTGAATTCCAACTAAGGATTTGAATTTTTTTAACTTTCATTTGAAATATTGTAGAGCTTCATATGCACGGTCTACTAATACGATAATGTCTATGTGTTGCAGTCAGCGAACTGAAGGCGTTAAAAGTTCTGTTCCGAAAACGAAGCAAGATAGACAAAAAGTTCAATCTAAAGTTTTAGAACACCTTCCATTTAATACAAAAATTAAAAGCTTATAAGTAACTTTATAAGGTATTTATTTCTCCCGCCTTCCTAGCGTGTCTTCGTGGTGTGGTAGTCTGCACACTGGGCCCGTATTGCAGAGGTCTGTGGTTCGATTCCCGGCGAAAGCGTTGTTAATATTTCATCTTGCCTGCTTCCATAAAAT